CTGTCTCAGGAAAGGGGCCGACAGCTTCAACTGGTATCGTTTGACACCGTTGCACGCAGATGGTTACTTGTGTGAAGTCCGGCACATTGTCGAAGCATTGGCGCCCCCTGTTATGGGTACGCAAGAAGAACGGTTTTCTCGTTTCCGGATAAAGTGGGTGGGAGCAAACCAGCGCCGACATGGGAAAGAACCATTAATAGAGCTGTGGCACCAGTGGACGTCAGTTGCGATGTCTCTAAGGTGAGGTGCAGTTTGTCACTGAGCACTTCCCAGATGTGGTTTGGCTCCTACCATATGGTGGAGTGTGCGTTTTGAAGAGTCTGTGTTTAAAAGGTGTTCAGCTACTGCAGTTTCTACATCGCGGTTGTTTGGGGCAGTGTGGAAGAGGAACGCGCTTCTGCGTGCGCTATGCAAGAGGCTTTTCGGTTTGGGTGTCCCGTTGTACGGATTGTGCAAGACTAGTGAAAAACGTCGGGGCATCCGTGCCAGCACGCAGTCTGCTCAAGGTACAGGCTTTTCTGGGCATTTTACGGACCATCGATATAGTCTCAATATGCATACAAATATGATTGACGAATGCGCAAGGACCGCCGCCATCACCATCATCAGTGTATTGCGAAGGAACAAGCAGCTAGTGCGATGATTTTCGGCATCGTGTGGAGCAAACAAATAGGTTGCAGTCTATTGGCACATGCCGGTTGCAGATGGAACTTCTAGATTTTTGAGCAGGTGAAACATCTTAGTGTTTCTGTGAGTGGCAGAAAGCTGTTTTCAGTATAGCGGTACACATTGATTAAGAACTTCTTACAACTGGGCAGTTTCAAGTGGTCTGTAACAGACGGTTGTTCATGCAACTGCCGGGACATAGTGGGCCACTATGGATGGTTGAGCAGATCCGCATGGCCCGCTTAGCCATGGCGTTGGGTTTCGTGTCCGTTGCACTGTGGGGATAGTGCGACTGCGTGGAGGTTTGGCAGGGAAGGACGTTGAAAATGGCGAGTGCTGAGCCCTCCGCCTCTGGCAAGTAAAATCTGCTTCCGAACAGTGAAAAGGCGCGTGTCTGAAGGCATCAATTCCACTCCTACAAAACGTTTGTGAACACAGGGGCTGGCGGAACGCATGCTCAGTCAAGGCTTGCAAGCGCTTATAAATGTAGGAGGGGATGCGTCGCGGTCGGGCACTGCTTGGATTGCGCATTCAGCCTTGTCGCTTGCGTGCAGCGTCTCCGGCATGGGACTGGTTCGCACTGTAGGCGTGTTTCAACCCATTAACTGCCGGTAGTGGTTCGCCGCAGACAGATGTGGAAGGGACTGTCTGCGATGTCCCACACCTA